GCAGCACCACTCGACGTTAGCACCACCACCCGACGTTAGCAACACCACCTGATGGTAGCAGCACCACCTGACGTTAGCAGCACCAGCCGACGTTAGCAGCATCATCCGATGTTAGCAGCACCAGCCGACGCTAGCAGCACCATCCGACGTTAGCAGCACCAGCCGACGTTGGACCTCACGACCTTGATTGCGCCTGACCGCTGTTGTGTTTGGCCCTGCCGTCCAGCCCGTCTCCTATGAACTCGAGTCATGAGGAACGACCAACGCCTGCCTTGCATAGCTTGAGAAGGCGTGTAGGGAAAGGTGGGCGGCTACCGTTGGCCATTGCAACGACGATTAGTGGATGCATTAGTCAGCAATCCAGCAGTTATTTTGTCCTTAAGATGTTGCGCTGCCTTCGGCTCCGCTATATCTGGGTGTCGGTCTGCAGCCATTCAGCGCGGGTGCATGTGTGAGGTGAGCGACAGATTGGCGCCAGGTGTGTGGAGGCGTCTGCTAAATCGCACAGGTGGAATCCGTCGACGGCCGTGATCTGTGCCGTTTAAAAAACCGATGTGTGTCGCTTCGCTTTGGTAGGTGTCATGTGAAAAGTGTAGTGGGGAGTATCTGAGATGATTGCGATGCCCAGTTATAAATCATGGTTGTTTGAATGTATGGAGCACTGTGTGTGAATTTATCGGCAGTAAAGACTGCTGCCATATGACCCAGTATCCGCAACGCCCTATAGCCCAGGTTGGTGTCATCCACAATTATATCACTGCACATCACTGAGCTAAACTGGAGTATGCCGATACCGATGCAACTAGGCAACTATTGTCAGCATCGGCGTTGTAAAGATGAGCTAGTGTCCGAAGGCAGCCCGTGCTTGTTCTCAAGTGCGCGCCTGCGTGCAGTGGTAGCTCTTGCTGTTGGCTGCGGCCCGCAGTGTCAGCCCCCGACCTCGGTGGGTCGGCCGTGCTTGTCTGAACCCACACGGTGGCCTGTGTTTCAGAACTTCGTGAGTCGCGCCGTCCTGGAGACGATGGGGTCGTGTCTGCACAACAAATACTCGGAGGGATATCCTGGCCAGAGGTGAGCAGACCATCCGCAGACGGCAGGACATGTGCACACGCGGAGGGCATGTGTTAACGGACTCGGATTAGACCAGTGATCCCGGTGAGAGTGTTGACCTTCGGTCGGCCGACATGAGAGGTCGCCCTCCCACACGTCTGCTGTACCACCGCTGAAAGGATGGCGCCCACCGTTTGCTCCGGAGAGACTCCCTCTCGACACGCCCACCGCTGGGCTGGCACCGGTGACCGTCCGAGGCGTTCCTGCTCACAGTCGTGCTGACACAGCCAAGCGTTTCCACCGCCTCTGCTTCGTCAGCCGACGCCCCAGCCAGGGCATCTCAAGAGGCGGGATGAGCCAAATTTTTTACGGCGCCGCCGCCGCCGATAAAAAGTCGTCATGGCCTCGCCGCCGCCGCAAAACCTCCGAGGTCTCCGGTTCAGGGCCACCACGTGTGCCACGTGTCTCACCATGCCACGTCTCACGCTGCCGGGGCCGGCTCCCGCAGCAGCCGCGGCGACCGTCTGACCAGCTGGTGCAGCCTCTTGACGCCGTCGGCAGTGGCGGCGCCGGCTCCCGTAGGAGCCGCAGGGGCCGTGTGACCAGCTGGTCCAGCCTCTTGACGCCGTCGGCAGTCATCGGCCTCGTGTTCGGCCACTGAGCGGCTGGTCCCGACGGTGTGCCAGGGATCGGCCGGTGTGTGCGGCGCGGGCTCCGGCGTGCCCGGCGCACCACCGCCGCCGCCGCCGTGTGCTGCCGTGATCGGTGTCACGCTAGAGCGGCCAGCTCTGATCAGCAGCTGCCAGGGGTCGGTGGGAGGGGACTCCTCTGTCGTGATCGGTGTCACGTCCGAGCGGCCAGCTGTGATCAGCGGCTGTCGGGGGTCGCTGGGAGCGGGCGGGGTGGCTTCCGTGCCGTGATCGGCGTCTGATCGCAGCGACCGGTCCGAGCGGCCAGCTCTAATCCGTGACTGTCAGAACTCAAAGGTGCGGGGCGCAGGTGGACCTGTCGCGGTCGGTGTTACGTCAGTGCGGCTCGGCTCCCGGACCGTGACGAGTCGCCTAGCGGGGGAGGAGGGAGGGGCGGGTGACGGGCCCACCGACTGGCGATGCCAGTGGAGCGGCCGCCGGAAATGGCATCTCCACTGACCCTGGCAACAGCACGCCAGCGGCGGCGGCGGCGGCGGCGGCCGGGCGCCACGGACACTGGTTACTAGCTGGAGCGGTTGTCGTAGCATGGCGTCATTGAAAAGTGGCGAGAAGGGGCCTCGGTGCCTGGAGACTGTGGCCGACCGGTGACGGCGAGCGGAGGCTGCCGTAGCTGTAGTGTAGCCTCTGACCTCTGTGACCTGTAGTGTGACATCTGGCGGTCCTGGGTGGCCGTGCGGCTGCGGCCCGCTGGCGACCGAGCGTGTGACGCCGCGTCAGCTGACCCCGAGCGTGACGTGACGGGGGTCAGTACTCCGGCTGGGCCGGGGCAGCGGCCGCCCGTCGGCGCCGGCGCCCGGCGCCGGCCGGCTGGCCGTGGCGGCGGCTGGCTGGCCGGCCCGGGCCCTCCCGCTTGTTTATGTTGACTGCCGGCCGGGAACGCTCTGGCTCGTGTCGGCCGGCGCCAGCAACGACCGATCCTCCGAGTGTTGGTCGCCTGTCCGCGAGTACGGCAGAGAGGTCATAGCAAGGGGTGTGTCCGGGACTGGCGACCCTGGGCCCGCACCCGCTGCGGCGCCCTGTTCCCCGCTGGCTAAGGCGCACGCAGTTCTGAACATTTCAGATGCGGCAAGTGCATGCTGTGTGTGGGGCTTGACTTGATTCATGAACCGGCGCATTAATACTTCGATAATCTCATGGCTGTAGTCGGAAACAGGCCGGCTGATTTGTCGTGAATCTGCCGAGTTCGCCCGGATAACTTGGTGTTTCGTGGTGCGCTCTCGCTCTGTTAGGTGACCTGCCCAGCTCCTGCTCCTGATAACCCGCTCCCGATCGTCAGGGCGTCCCGGCGTCGCTACGAGCGCGACCCGTCCTCCTGACGCCACGCCGCGCCCGCAGGTACTACGGCGGCACCGAGGTGGTGGACAAGGTGGAGCTGCTGTGCCAGGAGCGCGCGCTGCAGGCCTACCGGCTGGACCCGGCCCGCTGGGGCGTCAACGTGCAGCCGTACTCGGGCTCGCCGGCCAACTTCGCCGCCTACACGGCCGTGCTGAAGCCGCACGACCGTCTGATGGGGCTCGACCTGCCCGACGGCGGACAGTGAGTGTACCGGGTCGCGCTGGGTCACGGGCCATGTGGGGTTACAGGGGTCACGTGGTGTTGGACCGGCCCGACGGCGGACAGTGAGTGCTCAGGTCACTGGGGGTTACGCCATAAGTACCGGTACCTTCGACTCTTAATGGCGCATCGACAACAACTAACTCATGCAACAGTCAGCACAACTTGCGGGCTAAGTAACCATAAACAGACATGCAGTAATAACCATAAAGCTTCGGGGTGGCTACAATGCTCGTTTTGCTTCGGCTGGGCAAGCTTTAGGCCGCATGGATGCGGCTGATGCAAGCTCGGCTGTCGGGCCGCCAGCCAGTGACGCGCCCGAAAACGCTATGAAAACGTCTACGATTGGTTAAGTTACCAAACTGTGGGCACATGTGTGAGCTCATCGCTAGTTTCTCGCGTCAGGGCGTAGTTATTCTTGGGCCCGTCTAATGTCCAGAACCGTGGATGGTACGTCATCTGGAGAAGGTGTACCGATGGCTGATCGTAAGCTGGCCCAGTGCTGTGTGGAGCAAACCGGGCTATGTTGGATACTGCCTTGTTTTTGCTGCGTGCTGTAGCCGGATGGTTCAGTGTTGGGCATTAGTCATGGTGGCTGTGATACGATTTCGTGGGCTGTGCAAAGTATGGTCACCAGCCGCCATGTCCTCCCCGGGGGTGTGGCGGTTCGCCCGTCGGTCTCGGTTCCAGGCGGTTGGTGGAGGCAAACAAATGAAACAAGCAGACCTTGGATAAGCGTCTTTTTCTTGGAACTTTGCAAACATTGGTTGGGTTACTTTTCAAAGATTAGGGAGGATTTTGCATTCCACGCCCAAAAGTAGCACCAATTCTGACCCCTTGCAGCAATCATTAGCCATCAACAGTCACAGAATCCGCTAGTCGACAAACTTCCGGTGCTGGCTCGTCCAGCCGGCGGGAGTGGACTCAACACTTTAAAGCCCGTCGGTGGCCCGTTAAATGCATGCGATTTCTTTTCAATGGCATACCGAAACCCCTGTTGTAAACATGTGGTGCCATGTCGCGCTCCAAACGCTTTCGTGAATTATTTCACCAGCCTTGCAGCGGACCACAGTATCCCCCTCCCCATCCAGCTCAGCCCGCAGCGTTCGCTTATGAGGCTCCGCCACCGCTGGTTCTGCGCGCGTACACTGCCGTTAAGTCGTGGTGTAACGTCTTGGAGTTTTGCCTGATCCTCTCCGGTGTAAGTGGTTATGAAGCTCTGTCCAGGCGTCTGGATTGCTGGGGTTTTCAATAAGTGTCGTCCATGCGGTGGTATCACAAAGCATGACGCCGCCCATGATGCATTCCATTGTAATCCAGGCACCTGGCTCGCTGTCCTGCTGGATCGGTGTCAGCACGGTTTGAAAAATAATTATCGAGTTAAAACATCAATATGTGATGTTTCTGTTTTCAATGAGTGTGCGTGGCTTTGAGAGCTGTTTGCCCATGGTCGTGTTATGATGCTACATATTCCTGGTTGCCACTTTAATCTTCAGTTACGTAGAGCATCTTAGGAGATCACAGGGGCGTAGCTTCTCAAAATTGGTTTGCTGGGGGCGGGGGGGGGGGGGGGGTTTGAACAATGAAAAAAGGCTCAACCAACTCCCAAAATATGCCGACAAACAGGTTATCCTCAGGTTTATCTCTCTTTCTTCCCAAACTTTGGCGGGTTGGCCCTAGTTGTCCCGGCGGGGGGGGGAGGTTAACCCTCCCACCACCCACCCAGCGGAATGGGAATATATACCTCTAGTAGGTCAGTTTCAGCACATGCTGCATGGAAAGCGTCGACGTTCCGCGTTGTTTGTGTGCAGCTGACGGCGCTGCGACAATTTTGACTCGCCGTTAGTACAAAGAGTCTGAGACCACGCTATTTTGTAACACCATGAGCAGCTGGGTGAAAAGCTGTCGGTACCGCAGCTGCGTAGGGTGACTGTGATCCATAACACGGGTGTGTGCTTCCCTTGTGCCGCATGTGGGCTCCTGTCGCGGACGCCTTTTTTGCTGACGCACGGTCCGGGCTCGGGCTCTGCCTGAGTGACCGCCTTGGTGTGTGATGACGAGTGGGGCCGCCGTCAGTAGTGGCCCGCCATTACATTGTCTGCCATGACCGCGCGAACACCGCTGGCCGGCGGACGCCGCGTTCAGAAGCCCAGCGGAGCTCCCACGACTCCGCTGTCCTCGCCGTGTCTGAACGGCTCACCCGTGGCAAGGCTGCGGAGAGTTTGGCGCACTGTCTTGAGACGAGTATTTGTTGTCAGCGTTCAGATGTTCGGATAGTTGTTATATTTAATCATGCTTTTCGAGCATCCCGAATTTCAACGCTCTTACCGTGCCACATTTGCAGAGATAGGTCGTTAAATGGATCGTAGGACGAGAACATGTCAATTGAAGATGGAAGCTCATTGTTTAAGTACAAAAACTCCACAAATTGCCAAACCTAGCTTAAATAACACGGTTGAAGGGGGTTGGACCACAAGCCATTTGTTCAGGGTCGCCGCAGTTCAGGTTCGCCGTTCACGTCTGGGTGTCCTGCTCCTCGCTATCACGAGATCTCCAGCGTCGTTAGCCGCTCGAGATGTGCTCTGCGACGCCTCTGCAGTAGAGCGCTCTCCTCATACACGGGCTCTGTGGCAGCGCAGCAGGCCAGCGGCGTTCAGCGCTGACACGCAACAGTCATGCCATGATGGCAGCGCGCTGTGAGCTGAGCTAAAGGCAGCCAGAGTAAAGCAGCCAGAGTCATCGCACAGATGGCGATTTTATTGTTGCGCCGTTTGAGCTGTGGCTGAAAGCTCCCGTCTGCTGTCGGGATTTTCTCCTTGAGCTATCGTGTGCACGGGTGACAGGTCTTTTGATGGACGTGATGTCTTTAGAGCCCGAAACGTGTTACTGGGTTGGTTGCTGCATCATGCTGTGTTGAGTGTTGGAAAAGCTTTGAAATTTTCACGTGCTTTTTCAGAAGTTTGAATGTTTCTGGGTATCGGATTTTCGTTTGCGATGTTGCAACATTCGCTCACGCTGCATGGCCTTTGGAATACTTAAATAAATATTCTGTCGGTGGGTGTACACGCCTGGTTTTCTCGCCCGGCCGTTTCACGAACGTTCATCACGTCGAACCCCAAAATTGATTTTAAAGCGTTCCGAAAGAACGCTACAAACGTTCACCTTGGTAAACGATTAGGGACAGCTATCAGGACTAAGATACACATGTTATGACCTCATTGCATGAAACACTGACGAGTTTTGAAGCATTTGAAATGTTTTTAAGTTTTTCCATGTTGTAGCAGTGTTTCACCGGCTCAGAGCATGACCAATGTTTATTTGTCCCAGCCGCTGGACGGTTTTAGGCGCTTTTTACGCTGCCATCCAGCGTGCCTTTCGTGTACGACGTACTTCAGGAGCATGTTTACGTCGCCGGAAACGATCAATGTCAGCCTCTTATCCGCGACTGTCGGGCTGCTGGAACAATGGTGTCCCCTTCTTTCCAGCTTCAAAGAGCGGGAAACCAAATGTGTTCAAGGTGCCGGCTCCAGCCTCAAGCCAGTCTCAAAAGCTGGGTCGCCGGGCTGCCAGTGAGAGGTCTCGCAGTCTGGGCCGTCGTGTCGGGGCGCATGCGCAGCAGACGCGGGCTGGTGCCGCCCCGTTGCCCTAGATCCCGGGCAGTCCTGACCCGTCTCCCATCAGTCCAGAGCTGCCTGCGCTTGCTGTTAGTCTCCCGCTCTTGGCCGAGCAATGTTGGATGATCCTATGATGCGTAGGACGAATGGCCCTGGCTACGTCAGGCCGTCCCACTTTGGGAATCCAGCGCAGGCTGGAGGTGCCATCCGAATGTTGACCGATCTCTCGTCTAGGGACGCGTTGCGTGGCAGTGCATCACCTAACGCTAGGTGCTGATGCCCTGGCTGCTTGCTTCTGGGTACGAACAGCTGCTGCTTGCGGACAGCATGTGTTGCGGCATAACGCCTGTGGGTCGCCTCGTTCCTAACTCTTTCCCCCCGTATGCGGTTCAGCGCTGGTAACGCGTCGTTTGAATGACACGTTGTGGCAGATTTGGCGTGCGTTGTCCCACATTGTGCCATTTTGGGGGATATGAGGGGTACCCGCCGCCGCCTGTCCAATCTCCCCATTGGTGCGACCCCGTATTGTCGGTCATTGATCGGACCACACCCACCACACTCCGCTCACTGGATCGCTCCTTCCAACGTCCTTAGCGTCAGTGGCAAGTCACAAGTTCGGGACACGGACACCTGGTACGAGCTGTTCACGTCACACGCCGATGATGTGTTGGCGGGGCCGTCAGTGCCTGCCGCTGTGGCCGGTGCCGCGCTCGGTCTGGCCGTGCCCCTCCCCCCCCCCTCCCCACAGCTGTACTCTCCCTCACCACCCGCCGCGCCCGGTCCGGCCGGTCCGTCCCAGCGGTACCCTCCCTCACCACCCGCCGTGCCCGGTCCGACCGGCCTGCCCCAGCGGTACCCGCCCTCACCACCCGCCGTGCCCGGTCCGGCCAGTCCTCCCCAGCGGTACCCTCCCTCACCACCCGCCGTGCCCGGTCCGGCCGGCCCGCCCCAGCGGTAGCCTCCCTCACCACCCACCACGCCCGGTCCGGCGTGGTGGGTGGTGAGGGAGGCAGCTCTGCGCCTCCTCTCACGCGCCATCTCCCCGTCCGCAGTCTGACGCACGGCTTCATGACGGAGACAAAGCGGATCTCGGCCACGTCCGTCTACTTCGAGTCGATGCCGTACCGGCTGGACCCGCGCACGGGCACCATCGACTACGACAAGCTGCAGGAGACGGCGCGTCTCTTCCGGCCCCGGCTGGTGATCGCTGGCACGAGCGCCTACTCGCGCCTGCTCGACTACCAGCGCTTCAGGCAGGCACGTCAGCCACCCGTACCGTCTCTTCCAGTAGGCAGCTGTTGGGAGGTCGTCTTGCTGATGGCACCAGTGCTTTGCCTGTCGTGCAGGTTATTGGCTTCAGTAAGCTCTTTGTGTTTTCTTGGATATCAGTTTGAACAATAGTCAGCTTTATGTGGCTAAGATATCTTGTAGTTAAAAGTATCTTGATTAAGTAATGTCTTCGAGAGCTAAGCTCGAAGTGAATACTCCCAAAGCTGGCCTTTCTGGCCGTTGGACGTGTTCGCGTGCTTTAAGGCTTACAGGTATTATCACTGCAGTTAGAAGAGAAACATAGTACATCTGGTGTGCAAGCGCTCGTTAGGTGGTGAAAAGGCGTGTCTGCCAGTGCCGTGCCTCATGCTGTTGATGTTTAGGCTGCAGCACTTCATTTGCAGCTGTCCCATCTGTTGATCGGTGTGCCAGCGTACCCGGCGGCCTCAGCGTATTCGACGGCGGACCGGCGGGCCGGCGGACCGGTGGACCGGTGGACCGGTGGACCGGCGGACCGGTGGACCGGTGGACCGGTGGACCGGTGGACCGGTGGACCGGCGGACCGGTGCCTCCGCCGCCGCTCTGGCCTGCCGCGCCGCCGTTAGTGTTCCGTCCGGACCGCGCCGCCAGCCTCCTGTCCGTGGCGTCGGGTCTCACCCCCTGCCGCCGCCGCCCCCAGATCTGCGATGACGTGAAGGCGTACCTGCTGGCGGACATGGCGCACATCTCCGGTCTGGTGGCCGCCGGCGTTATCCCCAGCCCGTTCGACTACGCTGACATGGTCACCACCACCACACACAAGACACTGCGCGGCGCCAGGTGAGGGTCACCAGGGCCGGGACAGACGTGGTCACCACCACCGCGCACAGGACACTGCGCGGCGCCAGGTGAGGGTCACCAAGGTCGGGACAGACATGGTCACCACCACCACACACAGGACACTGCGCGACGCCAGGTGAGGGTCACCAGGGCCGGGACAGACGTGGTCACCACCACCACACACAAGACACTGCGCGGCGCCAGGTGAGGGTCACCAAGGTCGGGACAGACGTGGTCACCACCACCACACACAAGACACTGCGCGGCGCCAGGTGAGGGTCACCAGGGCCGGGACAGACGTGGTCACCGCCACCGCGCACAGGACACTGCGCGGCGCCAGGTGATGGTCACCAGGACCGGGGAAGTGATCCAGACGGCCCGGTTGTGCCAGACGGCTCGGCCAGCGCGGCGCCAGACGGACAGGGTTGCACGGCGTCACACGGATGCGCCCCGGGCGGTGCCGTCGACCGAGCGGTCCAGCTGGCAGCAGGCAGGGATGTGCCAATAGTACCGTGGGGATGTGGGTAGGCAATTGGTTATGTGAGTAGCCTGTCTCTGCTGAGCTGAGTGAGGCGGGGCACGTGTCAAGTGTCGGCTTGTAGGTGAGAGTGGGGTGGTGTCCGCCTCCCCGGCGTCTCCCTGTGACCGAGGCCGCGCCGCGGAGCGCCGGCCGCAGCCGACTGACCGGGCGTGCCCGCGGTCGGCAGGGCCGGCCTCATCTTCTACCGACGCGGCGTGCGCTCCGTGGACCCGAAGACGGGCCGCGAGCTAATGTGGGACCTGGAGAGCCGCGTCAACCAAGCCGTGTTCCCCGCGCTGCAGGGCGGGCCGCACAACCACGCCATCGGCGGCGTGGCCGTCGCCCTCCGGCAGGTCAGCCGCCCCGGCCGTGACGTCACTGGTGCCGACCGTGGAGGCTTCGTGTCACGGAGGCCAGCTGCGCTCAGGGGCTTGTGCTTCAGTCTGACGGCGATTCGTCGCGTAGTCAGCCGGTGGCTTAGTGGGATAGTTTTCTGACTGAAAAATGCATCGGCTTTATCAGTAAAGGGGCTCTAATATTCGTTCTGCGAGCCTTTTATCGTTTGGGGGCTGCTCAGCTGGAAATTGTGAAGCATGCGTGCGCGTGTGTGATGTGAAAGTCGTGAAGGTGTGTAACTGCGTGCGCATGTGTGATGTCAAAGTTGTGAAGTGTGCAAGTGCGTAGCGCGTGTGCGATGTGAAAGGTTGTGAAGTATGCAAGTGCGTGCACGTGTGTGATGTGAAAGTTGTGAAGTGTGCAAGTGCGTGCGCGTGTGTGATGTGAAAGTTGTGAAGAGCGTAAGTGCATGCGAGTGGTGTACTAGCGCCTGGCCACCGGCCCTCTCCGCGACGATCAGCGCCATAGGTTGTGCAGCTAAATGACTGGATGCGAACTGCCGGTGAAGCGAACCTAGTCCCTGCTACGGCAGGCGCTTCCTCCACCTCCGTGTGTGCTGTGCGGCGGAGGCGGCCCGCTGCTCTCCAGCTGTGCCGGCTCGCGATGACGCAGCCTGCTCGGTCGTTACAGGCGCAGACGCCCATGTTCCGGGCGTACCAGGAGCAGGTGCTGAAGAACGCCAAGGCCATGTCGGAGGCGCTGACCAAGGCCGGCTTCTCGCTGGTGTCGGGCGGCACAGGTGGGTGGCGCCCGGCCAGTCTGACGGTCACAGGCTCCCGTCCGAGCCTGTGCTGCCCCAGCTGACCTCTCGCTGGTGTCGGGCGGCACAGGTGGGTGGCGCCCGGCCAGTCTGACGGTCACAGGCTCCCGTCCGAGCCTGTGCTGCCCCGGCCGGCCGGCCCGCCCGCCGGGACGAGCCGAGCCGCCGTTGCGCGCAGGACACGCCCAGCTGTGCTGGGCGCCCTGGTGTGCCCCATCCCTCTGTTACCTGTGGCCGCTGTGGGACGTCTGTCCGCCTGTCCCGCCGGCTGACCTGTGGCCGCTGTGGGACGTCTGTCCGCCGGTCCCGCCGGCCGACCTGTGGCCGCTGTGGGACGTCTGTCCGCCGGTCCCGCCGGCCGACCTGTGGCCGCTGTGGGACGTCTGTCCGCCGGTCCCGCCGTCTGACCTGTCGCCGGCTGACTTGTAGCCGCTGTGGGACGTCTGTCCGCCGGTCCCGCCGGCTGACCTGTGGCCGCTGTGGGACGTCTGTCCGCCGGTCCCGCCGTCTGACCTGTCGCCGGCTGACTTGTAGCCGCTGTGGGACGTCTGTCCGCCGGTCCCGCCGGCTGACCTGTGGCCGCTGTGGGACGTCTGTCCGCCCGTCCCGCCGGCTGACCTGTGGCCGCTGTGGGACGTCTGTCCGCCCGTCCCGCCGGCTGACCTGTGGCCGCTGTGGGACGTCTGTCCGCCTCTTCCGTCGGCTGACCTGTGGCCGCTGTGGGACGTCTGTCCGCCTCTTCCGTCGGGTGACCTGTGGCCGGCGTGGGACGTCTGTCCGCCCGTCCCGCCGGCTGACCTGCGGCCGCTGTGGGACGCCTGCCCGCCCGTCCCGCCGGCTGACCGCCGTCCTTGTCGTCGGTCGGCAGACAACCACCTGGTGCTGCTGGACCTGAGGCCGAAGCAGCTAGATGGCGCGCGCGTCGAGATGGTCTGCAACCTTTGCAACATTACCGTCAACAAGAACTCGGTGCCGGGCGACAAGTCGGCGCTGAACCCGGGTGGCCTGCGCCTCGGTCAGTTCCGCTCCTGGGGCTCAGCCGGGGTCGGAGGAGGGAGGGGGGGGGGGGGGGGGGGGGGGTCACGGAGTGTCCGGGCGTAGACGTGTAGCGTGCTGTTGTGACAGGCGAGTCCTGATCGTGTTCGGACCGCTGGTGAGGGTGAGCAGGAATGTGCGCCTGACTTGGAGGGCGAAGAGACCAGGGTCATCCGAAGGGAAGCTTAATTCGGGTGCCTTAGCGAGCTTTTCGGGTCACGGAATACCGCCCTCACCGCGTGTATTACCACATGTGTCGTCATCATCACTATCAGTGTCACCATCATCGAGTGCCGTATTAAGTCTAAAACGTATGGTCAGTTTGTGATGAAAATGACATGAATGATATCAACACGCATGATGTCGACCCTTATGCAGAGTGTTACCATCGGATCCCAAGGGTTACGCGGTGGGTCGCTCCGTGACGGTCGACACGCGGGTCGGCGGGGCGCCGGCTCTGCATGCGTCACCGCTGGCGCCCGCTGCGGCCGTCCCCTCGGTCCCCCCCCGCGGCCGCACCCCCGGCGCTGACCTGCGCCGCCCCGCCGGCCGCACCCCCGGCGCTGACCTGCGCCGCCCCACCGGCCGCACCCCCGGAGCTGACCTGCGCCGCCCGCCGGCCGCACCCCTGGAGCTGACCTGCGCCGCCCCGCCGGCCGCACCCTCGGCGCTGACCTGCGCCGCCCGCCGGCCGCACCCCTGGAGCTGACCTACGCCGCCCCGCCGGCCGCCAGGCGCTCCCGCCCTGACCTCGCGCGGCCTGACCGAGAGCGACTTCGAGCGGGTCGTCGCGCTGATCAACGAAGCGGTCGAGATCGCCACTCAGCTCAAGACCAAGACCGGTGAGCAGCGCAGACTGCGCCCCCGCTCCGGCCGCGCCGGGAGCGCAGAGAGGGCGCTGTCACACCGTCGTGGCGCCGCGTCTCACAGGGTGGTGCGCTGCGGCCTGCGGTGGTGCGGGCGTGGGTAGCTTTGTCCGCCGTTGTTGAGTTGTGGGTTTCGTGTGTTGTTGCTGGCGCCGTAGTTTCGGAGGCCGCCAGCTGTCGGAGGTCACTGTCTTTGCGGCAGAATATCGCACGTGGAGTTGGCGCCTCACCTGAATTAGGACACCTGCCCAGCCCTGCTAGACTGAGGCGCCTGCGCCGGAGGACCGGCTGTTCGTGTAGAGACTGCATGACGGCGCCGTGCGCGTGACCCAGACACCCGCCGACTCTGTGTACTCGTGCAACTGACTGCAAGACAAAGGTGGCGTCCGCGTGAGGCGGCTCTTGGCTGGCTGCCCACTGTGTATAGATGGCGTCAGAGCGAGTGTGGCCCGGCTTTACCCGAGTCTTTGCTGATTTGCTGCCCTCTCTCTCTCTCGCTCCAGGCAAAAGTCTGAAGGACTACCGGGCGGCGCTGGCGAGTGACGCCGAAATCATCGACAAAGTGGCCGACCTGAAGCGGCGCGTGCGCCACTTCGCCGCACAGTTCCCCATGCCCGGCTTTGACGATCATTAAGGCGCGACCGGTGCCATAGCCGCTTCGCCAGCTCGGGGATTTGCGAGGCATCGGTGGATTGAAGTTGTAAAGGCGGCGCAGTGCCGTCATCGCGGTGCTGTAACGCATTGTCGGGATCGTCGCGAGTTTTGTGGTACATGATCTTTCATGTTTCCAAAAACAGACCTTAGGTACAGTATGTCGTAGTGTAGCTGCTTTAGGAGCTACCCGACTAAGTGTCATTTTGTGAATATTATTTTTACCTATTCCCTTTCGTAGAGGGTGGTTTCTATCATTCTGCTTAACCATGGCATCACTAAGTCATTTACGCCCCTGCGTTGATTAAACTAGTGCGACGGCTGGTGCAGAGTGTGTAGGAGGTCTGGGGTATTTTTAAGTGCGTAACGCCGCCCCGCCGGCGCGGTAACATTGTAATGCCCTCGCTCGCTGCTCTGCGGCTAGCGGCGTTCACTTCTGGCCACGCGCTGGCGCCTGGGTATCATGGGTAGAACTTTGTATCTCCGTGAGGAGCCATGCCCCACATGTTGAGCCCCCTCCCCCCCCCCCCACACACAGTAGCACCGCAGCTTCCCAAAGATGGACTCCGCCACCCCTACTGACGAAGTTACACCAGCGCTGGGTATTGGTGTGCAGTCGGCACCACCGACACCCAGCTGGCTCCCGCGGACTTGGCTGTGTTCTGTAAACGGCATTGGCATCGGAGCTTGCGGGTATGTTACATACCACTGCCAGGCGTATCGCGGTTGGCGGCGCACGCTCAGGTCAGCACTGCGCCGGGCTCGGCCGGCCCGACGGACGAGCTCGCTCCCGCCCCGTGCGGCGCCGCCCTCGGGAGCGACACCGCTCCGGGGCGGGGCGGCGGGCCCGGTCAGGCGGCCGCGCGGTGGCCGGCGCAGGACTGCCGTCTGTGGCGGTCTGATCGCTCGGGGCGCCGCGCGGTGGCCGGCGCAGGACTGCCGTCGGTGGCGGTCTGATCGGACGGAGCGCCGCGCGGCGGCCGGCTCTTCGGCGGGTAAGATCCATTCCAGACCGCGATCGTTTTCGTCGCGGCTTGGTGCTGTGCTGTGGACGGTCACTCGGGTGGCCTTCCCTGGCGTCACCTCTGGGCGGCCGTCACGGACACCAACGGTCCGACGTCTTTGTTTGTATTGGATGCGGCCACCGGGCTGGCATCAGCGCCATGACGTGGCCACTACCGGATAGATGTAATGTGGCACGGCCGGCGCCGCCACCGTGCGTCATATATGGTGCCACAGCCTCACGAGCCCTGCCGCTGGGTCGGGGTCTCCGACAGACAGACGTCGTCCCTCGGCTACCGTCGGTCGGGCGGGGCAGGGCCGCGGCGCCGGTCAGATCGCGCGGAGGACGGGCCGGAGCTGTGCAATATGGCCGGCGAGAGGCGCAGCGCAGCGAGCGCGCGAGGGGCGCCACCGGGCGTAGTCGGCTTGTGTAGACTGGGCGCAGGAACAAGCCGATAGCCAGAGGGTGGGGTCACATAGCGGACCTGTGGGTGCGAAGCTTTGCTGGAGGCGAGTTCCTGTGGTAGGGGTGATGGCCGCCCTCGTTCTCCGTGTGAGCCGGCAGACGGCTGGGGTCTTTTGATACTAACGTACGCTGCGCCTCTTGTCCTGGAACTGCGCCGAAGTCCAGTGTTTATCGGGTTTCGGCGAACTGTAGACTAGGTAGTCAGTCTTGTGTTGTGTCAAACGTCTGCTCGCCATCGATGTTGATGACGCGTGAGCGGCGCACTACCGGCGAACAACAGTGGCTGCCCGTTCGTGCGCGTATTCACGTATCCATTCTCACAGTGCGCCACACTCGTACCCTCCACATCCGACTGCGTTCGGGTGATGGCTGTGTGTCGAATGTCAATAGCCGTAACAACTCCGACCGCTGCGCTGCTCTGCGGTGTCGGCGCCTTTGTCGGTGACTTGGCTGTTGTGATTTGTTGTGAATGCCTCGGGCAGTGAGGGAAAGCGGTGAGTTTGCCATTCGTAACCGCCAGCGTAATTTGCAAAGACCTTTTGTCCAGGCTTGCTGCCTGCAAACGCAGTTAAATTATTGAATTTGTGTTTTGTTCTTTACGCTTACAAGCAACTTAGCTGCTTACATGAATCTCGGCGCGTGTGTTTTACCACATTTTCCCCCATTTCCACTTTTTTTTGGTTGTTGCTACATGGCACGTGGGACAGTAACACACATTTTCTGAATTTTCCACTCCAGCGCCCAACCGCGCAGCCCTGATTCGCACGGGGACAGCAAGAAATAGATTACATTTATTTATTTATTTCGATTACTTTCGAAGCAAATCGATTAAAGGCATCGCAAGGAGTGTGTAACTCGTGCTTGAAAAATAAACGTCATGGACATTATTTGAGAAAACCCGTGCACGTTTAACATCCGGACTAGTGAAATGAATTCTTCCCCTCTCCCGTCCCCCCCCCCCCCCCCCACCGTCTCACTCAAAATCTGAATGTTCACTGCTCAGTCCACGCGCGGGCCGATCATGAAGCGTGTGTGTGTGCGACTGTTGCGAAGACTGCGATGTTTGCCAATAAATGAACCCCAGGGATACTGCATTTAGTTGATGGGACTACGGTGTGTTTTATTCGTGCGTTTCGTCCGTTTTCATGCGCTACCAGGAACCCAACGTTGGATTGTTTCTATCCTGGGCCTGAGCCCCGTTGCTCCTGTTTTTTTTTTGCGTGACCTTTGTGCGCGTCTTTCTCTGTATCCTATGTTCCTGGACGTGGCTGCTTGTGTATGTTATGATATACAGACGGTTTCGCGTAGGCTTTGATAGCACATAAAACATTCGAAAAATGTGAATAACCTGCTACTACTGTCAATATTCCCCCCCCCCCCCCCCCCCCCCCCACCACTCTCCTCACTCTCCCTTCGTCTGCCGCATATCCGCCCTGCTCCTCGCTGACACGACATTGAACACCTCACTCGCCCAGCACCTGTATTCGGGACCGATAGCGATAGACCCGCGCCGAAAATATTGCACCGACAACAGAAGTACGCGGCACAAGACGTTTTCAAACTCGCTCCTGTCGGCATTTTGAGCACCACTTGTACTAGTCAAGGGATGGCGTGTATGGCATCACGAAGCATACATGAACGGGGACGGGTCGCGCTTGGTGCCACGCTTAGTGCGCGGCACGGCGGCTCCTCACATTTCCCATGAGTCAAAATACAGGAACCTCTTCACGAGCAGCTCGCTGGTGCCATCGCCCGGAACGCCGAAGGCCAGCTCCCAGTTCGTCAGGAAGCTGAAAATACGGCCAGAAGACGTCAACGATCAGATCGCGCAAGGAACGCTGTACATTCGACTCAGCTGCCGGGCGCTGGGGCAGCTCCTTTTAACTCTGCTGTACTTATTGCTCTCGCCCCCTCCCCCCCCCCGCCGAAAGGTGTAGTCAGCCGTTTGAAATTAAAGTGTTTAACCAGCTTGGTCTTTCTCTTTGTACCCTCCGTCGATTCGTGTAGTTAAAACTGAGCACTGTCCACGAATGTTTTGTGAAACAAGCGCCAGACGAAACATATTCGGTTTGATCTCGCCACCGGAAAGGCTGACATGTAGTACTGACCTGTTGACATAGAAAGCCGATATAGCTGCCAAGATGGTGGGTCGGACAAATTGGCGACCCAACGGCAGAGGTAGACGTTCTAGGCCCCCAATCAGTCCGTCTACCACCACACCTGGGGACGTCATCAGCAGAAAAACTCATCCACGACCGTTTGTGTTCCGCCCGGTAACACTGCCACCACAGCACTTCATTTTCCACCCAAAGCATCACGGAACATGAACACGAGATTACTGTGAGTACCAGGCGGCTTACCAGATATCATTGTGCTGAAGAAGAACGACGGCAGGTAGTGGTGGAAGTAGAGGATGCGTTGCATGGCCCAGAAGGGCAGGTAGTGCAGCGCCCAGCCCAGCAGCAGGTACAGCAGACCCTCCCGAATGCGAGAACACTCTGAGGGCGCACCGGACACGTCAGCGGCACGGACAACACGGACCGCGCCGGGTGCACACCAGCTCTGTGGCACGGTCCAGGGGCGCGGCGCCCCCACGCCAACGGACCACATTCACAGCGCTATTCATCAGTGAAAATGCTCGCAGATAGCGACTCAAAAAAAGTTGTTACATAGCCATAGCCCCTGACTAGTGGCCGCCGAGCAATAGACATCCGAACGACAGCTCCTCGCGGGCAAGCCCCTGACCACGGCCGCTGACCGGCGGACTGCTGACCAGCGGTCTCTGACGCTCGCACGACGGGGTTCGGGCTGGGCCCGGCCGACGCCATGTCCCACCTGCGGGCTGCCGCGGACGCCGCTGCCGCCGCACCTCCGACACGACCCAGAGCAGCGGCAGCAGGCACAGCACTGCCAGGTTCAGGAAGTAGACGTGAGGACTGCCCACGAAGTACAGCGAGTGCCATGTTGTCCCGTGGCCCGGACACCCCTGTCGGACAGAGTGCTAGGTCAAACTCGTCCCGAACACCCCTGTCGAGGCAGAGCACAGGGCCAGACTTAACCCGGACACCCCTGTCTGGATACAGCACGGCGTCAGATCTAGGTCGGACACCCCTGTCTGGATAAAGCACGACGTCAGACCTGGGTCGGACACCTTTGTCGGGACAGAACACGGGATCAGACTTGGCCTGGACATCCCAGTAGGACAGAGCACGAGGTTAGACTTCGCCCAGACATCCCTGTCGGATAGAGCACGAGGTTAGACTTCGCCCAGACATCCCAGTCGGACAGAACACGAGGTTAGACTTCGCCCAGACACTGAATGGAGCACTCCATTTAGCAATGAATGGCATCGTCGCGATTCAGTAAAAAGTGATAACGGAACCATTGCAAAACACGATTAGAGCCCGACCTCGATCAAAAATACGAGTGACACCTATCGTCCTCGTCTCACTTCACAAATGGGACTGCCCTGAGCTTAAGCTTACTATGACTCCGTCCATGCTTGTACCTGGAGAGAGCCATGAACAGAACACTCGCTTCTGATACACCTGTGATTTTGACGGAATGACGGTCCCGAAGAAGCTGTTTGCGACGCGCAACGCACAGTCGTACATACCCTGTAAAGCACAGGCCACATCCAGGGATGGCTTCTGAGCAGCTTCTGCATGCCGTCTTCGCCCTCAAAGTCATAGACTTTGAGTTTGCTGTTGGAGTTGAGCATGACCTGGTGCAGCTCCACGATCTTGTTAAGGGTGCTCATCTCGTATAGCGCCTTCAGATCAGTACCTTCCACTGTCAGCATCATACCACGAAGGTCAGAACGACAAATGGCTGTTTTCCAGTCACGTACTTCACCCT